AACATATCCAGGTGTGAGCCTCTCCCTGTTAAACCTTGCTCCTCTGGCCTTTGCCCTGGTTGGTTGGTGCCTTTTGGGAACAGACATTGTTTTCACTCTGGTCTCATGATCATCCAAATTCTTATAGCCATGGGAATCAGAGCTTTCTCTCTGCCATTTCCTCTCCTTTGTTTCTCCCAGAACAGGAAGAAAAAAGTCGGTCTTAACAGAGACCGAGAATAAATAGAGGTTTAAAAACAAATCATTTAGGGCCGGCCCGGTGGCGCACTGCTACAGTGTGCCGCTTGGGAGCACGGCGGCGCTCCCGCCGAGGGTTCGGATCCCACATACAGACTGGTTCCTGCTCACTGGCTGAGCGAGGTGCGGGCGCAACACCGAGGGTTGCGATCCCGTTGCCGGTCCCAGTCCAGTACAGGCGCGACACTGAGGGTTGCGATCCGTTGCCGGACACGAAAAAAGACAAAAAGGAAAAAAAAAAAAACAAATCATTTATTTAATTTTTAAGAAGAATTTATTGTTTTAGAGCAGTTTAAGGTTTACAGCAAAATTGGGCAGAAGGTACAGAGAGTCCCCATGTACCCCCTGCCCCCACACATGCAGAGCGCCCCCATCATCAACATCCCCCACGAGGGTGGTGCATTTATTACAGTCAGTGAACCTACATTGACACATCATCACCCAAAGTTCACAGTTTACATTAGGGGTCACTCCTGGTGTGTATATTCTATGGGTTTGGGCAACTGTATAATGACATGTATCCACTATTGTAGCATACAGAATAGTTTCACTGCCCCCCAAATTGTCCATGTTCTACCTACTCAATCTTCTTTCCCCCTGAACCCCTGGCAGCCACTGATCTTTTTACTGTCTCTATAATTTTGCCTTTTCCAGAATGTCATATTGCTTTTTTAGAGAATGCAGATGGTGAATCGTTTTGCGTGTCTTTCATAAAAAGGAATTAAAGCTGGTATGTGAGTCAAAATCTTTCACTATCTAAAGGGACTGTCAGAAGACAACCACAAGTTGAATTAAATCAAGGTCAACCTTTATTTAGAAATAGTAGAGTCACCTTTGTCATATAGTTAATCTTTCACCAATGTAAATTCTTGCATGCTGATGCATAAAAATTTATCATCAGTGATTTATCTTCTCATAGTGATGTTCCTTTGACCTTCTTACTAAATTCATATACGCCTGAGATGGTCAGCATTTTCAGAGAGTCCCCTCATTCTGTAGAAGTGTTTCTAATTATTAGTATTTAAAAGCTGTAGAAACTATCTATTCTAAATTGACAGCCATTGAAGTTTATGAATGTGATATGAATATTCCACCATGTTATGTGTGATTATTTTATTCTGAGTTGTTATTTGATTGTTTGTAAGGAAACTGCTTTATGATGCTCAGCCTCATTTTTCCATAAACTGCTCCCTCTTTGTGTTTTCTTATGCTGCGATCAGCTTTTCAAAACCAGCTCACCATAATCACATCCCAGAACAACTGTCTGACATTTGAAGGGACGGTGGAAAAGTAAGGTTTTTCCTTGCAGTGTTTCCTGCTACTCATGAAGGCTGCGATTAGATGTTGTAATGTTTGCATGTTTGGCATTCTTTGGGAAGATGCAACATCATTAAAACACAACTGTGTGCTGCTGTTTTAAATAGTATTTAAATAGATCATTGAAATCATGGACATCTAAATTTAGTTCTAGAAATCAAAGCTATGGTAATAAGAGCTGGACCTGAGTTCTCTTAGGCCAAGTAATTTAATTCTTCAGCCAGTTGAACTATCATGCATCTCTGTTCCTTGTTATTATGCCAGTAAATTGCTCAGGCAGATGCAGTGATGGATGATGGGCATATAATTCACTCTTTTTCATGGCTAGACACACATCAGAATGCAGATCACTTTGGACAGCTGTTTTCATAAGCATGTTTTCTGTTTGGAGCTTTAAGAGCAACATTCAAGTACTAAAGAAAGCTTAGGGAGGCACCTAGGTATGTCCAGGGCTGTGTTTTCACCCTCCCACCTAGAAGCACAGTGTTGTCGTAACCCTGGATCATACACTTGGATATTGTCACTCCAGTTATGCTTCAAGATCACATGTACATTTCATGGTTTAAGGACAATACTGGTTTGGTTTGATTTTTCTCCCTGGCTTTCCCTGAATTTTCCACTTAAATTGGAGAACTAAACAGTATTGATATCTGTGATTTGATTGAATAAAGGGGAGACCTTGAACACAATAAATTAACTGGTGACTTGCATCAGGTGATCTTTATTTTATTCACTAGTAGTATAACATTGAAATTCTATAGAAAAATGCAGACACAGTATACTGGATAAAGTTAAGGGCAGCTGAGCAGCTGTTAAGTTCAGGATTCTTTTGAAATTTTGCTTCAAGTAGTAGACTTTTGCACAGAAATTCAAGCAATCAAAAAATCAATTATTTCACCTCATTTATGTCTAAGCAAATGAAGGCTTATACTATCTGATCATCAGTGCCTATTCATGGTCTGTTGGAAATGTTAAAATAACTAGTTACCATCTTCTCTGTATCAGTACACGTCATGTATTAACACACGAATAAGTTATTCTGCTTAATAATTTTCTTTTATTCTTTAGCCAAATGCTTCAAATGTCTTTGGACATGTTCATTCATTATCCTTGCATCATAGTTAATCAGAGCTAGAAAGGCATTCCACTTGGGGGTCATACACATTTTTATAGAAATTATATAAAAGTCCTTTGCTGTATTCTTACATTATATGTAATCACAGTTAGGTGTTCCGTGTGGGGTCATACACATCTTTATACAGCTTGTATAAAACGTCCTTTAAATTCTGAGTTAATCAGAGAATTCCCTCTGGTGCTGTATTCATCTCTTTATGGGTCTTTTTCTTTTCACTCTCAGCAAAATTACTTGTGGCTGTCCTGCCAGACTTTGAATTTTGAAAACCTTTTAACTTTCTGGAGCCATCTTCCTTTCCGTTGTCCTAGACCATGGTGGTATACTCTTCTTCTTCTTAACATGTGTGGAATCTGATTTCCTACAGAATGCTGTACTCACACTAACATTTTAATGCTTCATGTTGTGGCTGACACAAAGGTTTCTATCACTTTTCCCGACAATGAATTTCTCCTTGTTGGCCAGAGTCAGCTCTGGGATAATTCCCTTCTGCTGTCTCCTTTTTTCTGGGGACATTTAAATGTTAACATAGTAGCTCTTAATGCTATGATTGTTGTGCATCTCTTCCAATAAGACCTGCGGCAGCTGTGCTGGTAAGGTGAAATCCTCTACCACATCTGTATCTTTTCTCTGTATTTGCTTCTGTGATCTGATCAAGGGCATGTCTTTCTCTGGTCCAGCCAGGTGGTATGTGATAGATTTTCACTGTTTGACACTTATGTTTTTGTCTCTTTTTTTCATTTGTTCTGTTTTTGTTTTGGTGGCTGGCTGATTGGTATTATCAGCATATTCTTATCCTGATTTATCTTCTTTCATTTATCTTGCTCTGCACTAGCAAGTGAGTACCGTGCCTGCACTGGCAGGGGCACAGTCTCCACAAGGATTTCTTAATAGGCCTTTTTAATTTTGTTCCAGACATGCCCTTCTTTTGCAATCCAAATTTCCTGATTTATTACTCACCCTTGTGCATCGGCATATAATACCATAAATATGCTTTCTTGCCTTCTTCCCAATTTTACTGTGAGTTACAGGTTATCTGTTGCTGTCATTCTCAGTTTTGCATATCTCAGTGGTTCTCAGAATATTGTCCTTGATCCAGCAGAATCTGTAGCACCTTGGAACTTGTCAGAAATACAAATCCTCAGGCCCCACTTCAGACACACTGATTCAGAAACTCAGGGGCTGTGTAAGAAACTCTGCAGATGAAGGGCTGGCCGGTTAGCTCACTTGGCAGGTTGTGGTGCTGATAACACCAAGGTCAAGGGTTTGGATACCTTTATTGGCCAGCTTCCAAAAAGAAAGAAAAAAAAAAGAGAAACTTCATGTGGTGCCTGGTGGTCTATTTTAATCAGACTTCCAAGTGATTCTGATCTATCCTAAACTTGAGAACTACTGAAATGTCTGGTATTCTACAAAAATAAGTAATTAGCAAGAGTAGGGAGCTCAACTAAATAGTTCAGTAGGTGTCCCTGACTACAGGATACTACAGATTTATCTTATTTATTTAGCCAAAATAAGACTATTTTTCCTCTGTGTCCAGTTTAAACTGTCAAAAGCAGGTTTTGAACCAATTTCTACCTCCATTTATTGAGTATCTACTATTGTGCAGGTGATGTGTGGTCTTTTATATACATTGAGGTATAATCCCCATAATACAGTAAGAGCAGTTCTGGTATCCCCCTTCCCTCCTTTTTAGTACGCTTTATTTTGTAGAGCAGTTTTAGGTACACAAAGAATTTGAGCAGGAAATACAAAGAGTTCCTCTCTACCTCCTCTCCACCCTCCCCACACTCCACAGTTTTGCTATTATCAACATTTTGCCTTAGTATGGTACATTTGAACCAACATTGATACATCATTATTAACCAGTGTTCATAATTTACATTGGAGTTCACTTTTTGTGTTCGACATCCTATGGGTTTTGGAAATGCATAATGACATGTATCCACCATTATAGAATCATACAGAGTAGTTTACTGCCCTAAAAACCCTCTGTGCTTCACCTGCTCATCCCTCCCTCCCTCTCACTGAACCCCTGGCGACCACTGATCTTTTTATAGTCTCCATGATTCTGCCTTTTCCAGAATGTTATATAGTTGCAATCATGCTATCCCCTTATTGTAATTGTGTAAACTAAGAACTGCTGTTCCTAAGGGTAAAAAGTTTTGCAAACCTTCTGAGCTGGGATTCAAGCTTTGTGTGTGTTTTTTCTTCTATGCTGTATTCCCTATCAAATTAACCAAAATTCCTTGTTGATGTTTTTTTTTTCTTTCCTAAAATTTGTTTAATTGACTATTCCTATTCTACTTTCTCTTCCAGTGAAGACAAAGTAGTAGAAGTGGCAGAGGAGGAAGAAGTGGCTGATGTTGAGGAAGAAGAAGCCGATGATGATGAGGACGATGAGGAAGGTGATGAGGTAGAGGAAGAGGCTGAGGAGCCCTATGAAGAGGCGACAGAGAGAACCACCAGCATCGCCACCACCACCACCACCACCACGGAGTCTGTGGAAGAGGTGGTTCGAGGTAATCCACTGTTTGCTTTTCTCTTACAAAAAAAATTTTTTTTTAATTAAAAAAAAGAAAGAATTAAAAAAAAAATTCTTAGGGAAAAGAAAGCATCATACCAGATGCTTTTCTCCACCACTGCCTTCCCCAATGACCCCCCCTCCACCAGATGTTTTTTTAAAATAAGGAGGCTTCTTGTGCTCATTGAATTTTCTTTTGGTTTCACATGCAGGGCAAGAATTAATTTTAAATAATGTGAAATCCTGATTATACAGTCTGTTCTGTGTCTCTGTATGCTACTTGGCAAATCTCAAATTATTGTATGACTTCACCTACCCTGGAACCAAGTTGTTTGATAAACACTGAGTTAGGCGACCTCCTTAGTATTCCCCTGGCAGTTGATGTTTGTGACATGGTGTTGTCTTTTGCCTCTTTCACCACTCAGACTATGAACTCCTTGAGGGTAAGGACTGAATTTTACTCAGTATCTTACAGAGTACCTGGCTTACAGAAAGTTTTTGATAAATCTTAGTTGAGTGAGTAGTTGTGGTTAGAATTCATTAAAGAAGGAGCAGATTTTGTGACTATCACATTATTTTGTGTACAAAATTTAACTTGGATGATTTTGTTGTATTTAAATTGTTTTATTGGAGAGTGTGACAGTGCCTTCTTCAAGAAGTAAACATAGTGCTAATATCTTAGACTTTCCCTTTCCGTTGAATTAATAATCCTGTCGAGAATGTTGTAAACTAAATGAACTAAAAGACTTCCTTTTTGTCTCCATGAAATAAACGCAAACATTCAGTTTATATTAAACAACCAAATGTTATAGCAATTAGTATATTGTTGGGTCAGATTTCTTAAAGGATATGTGTTTGTTTTGCAGTTAGTAAAAGATGCTTCTAGAACTTGATTGATTGAATTTTAATGTACTGCAAATACTTTTAATGTTCATCCACAGATATTACAACACTGTAAGGCTTCCTCTCACTTTTTGTTAAGGTATAATGATTTAAGCTCTGTTGTTATATTGGAGCTTAAAGTAGTCTACTTTATCTGCCTCAGATACATTTCTGATTTTCAGTATAGTATCTCTTTCCCTTTCTTGCAATTTTTTTTACAATTTTATTGAGGTATGATTTATAGATCATAAAATTCACTCATTTTAAGTGTATAATTCAATGGCTTGAAGAAATTTACCAAATTATGCAACCATCACCATAATCCAATCTTAGAGCATTTTTCATCACCCCAGCAAGACCCCTCATACCCATTCACATTTATTCCCTGTATTCACCTCTAGCCCCAAGCAACAACTAACCTACTTTCTGTCTTATAGATTTGCTCTTTTTTGGACATTTAATATAAGTGAGATCATACAATGTATGGTCTTTTGTGTCTGGCTTTTTTCATGTAACACTGTTTTTGAGGTTCTGCATTTTTTTAACTTGTATCTTTTAAAACTGAAATTATTCTGAATTCAACCCTTAGAGTTAGCTTAAAATCCATGGAAAGTATTACATGTTCTTTTAAAAAAAGAACATAGAGTACAAGATGGATTGTTTAACTTTATCATTCTCTACTTAACTGTTTTGTGAGGATTAAATGAAGTAATCCATGGGAAACATTTAACATAGTTTCTGGTAGACAGTAAGTGCTCAATTAACCTTAGCTGCTATGATGATTTTTGTGGTTATAATCATCATTCCAACTCTCCAGTGGTTTCTGAAGATATAGAGAACTAATGTTTACTACTAATTAGGAAGGCCAAAGATAAGCCAACAGATTGACTTTTTAAGTTATAAAAACCTTAAATGTGACGTATCCATTATGTATTGGTATAATACAGCAGATGTTTATAGATGACATTATGTTAAGATTTAAAAATAGCTTAAGCTTGGTTTCTTGCCTAAAATATTTTTTGTGAATATATTTTGTATCATAAAATGTCTGCAGTTAAACTTTATGTCCAGCTGAAAATTGAACAAGATAGTATTAAATGCCATTGCATTTCAAGATAGAGTTTCATTTCTTATGGGTATTTTAAACCTCATGGAAGTTCTTCTACTAAATGGACAGATAGAGACACTGATATCAGTGGCTCTTTAATCATATCATATGATGATGAAGCTAAAAAGTTTGATCTAAATGTTGCTTGCCTTGGAGTAGGTGATTGACCTTGATGGAATTAAATTATTGTTCTCCTTCTGGTGACCATTAATTTGGGAGAAGCACCATTTGATTTGCTGCCATGCCATTCCACAAACATCAACAAGGCACTTCTAGGTACCAAGCTTTGCACTGGTTGCTGGGGGTACGGGGATATGAATAAGGGGCTTGCTCAGGTTGCTTCCAGCCATACTTGCACAATCTTTGACAGGGATGAGTCTCTCCAACCTGGCTGGGAAGGAACTTTGGCAGCACACAGGAAGAAAGTGTTGCTTTGCCTCACACGGGTTTATCACCTTTCTTCCCCTGGGTGACAGAGCCACAATAAGGATTACTCAAGGCCCATGTCTTCCGAGCAGAGACCCTGAAGGGGTTAATTTCCCAGAACCCTCAAGAGAGGGGCATCCCTTCCTTTTGGAAATTAACCATGAACTGGGGTTCTTGCCCCACATTTATTCTCCAGATCAGGAAGTTACAGAACAAGAACATAGGTGGGGTTATAGTTTAGCAATATAGACTCGTAGCATCAGTGAAACAAGCAAAGTGACATTCCATAGTTCAGTTTGCAAAAGGTTAAGTCAATCCACTAACAAAAGCTTGATCTTAGCAAACACTGTTTTTCCCTACAGCAGTTTCCCCAGCATTTTTACATATCAATGAAGTAACTTGTCTGTCCTTAAGCCAACAACTTTGCTGTGTTTCAAAGACTTTAGCTTGAGGAAAGTTTCCTGTCTTTTGCAAGGTTAACATTTCTATATGTAATTTTAAGAAGTTAGGCTAAACCTGAAACTACAGGGCTTTGGAAAACCAGGCCCTGTGAAATACATTTGCTTTATAGTATACTCCACAAGAAAATGCTCAGCCTGGGGTCAGAAGTTGTCACCTAAGGCGTTGCAGAGCAGTTAGCATTTGAGTGATTATAAAGGAAGAATAGGGATTTACCAGGTGAACAGCACCAAATAGAATGAATCCAATAAGTATTACAAATAAATCAGACCAGCTTGCATTTATCTCAAGGGGAGAAGAAACAAAGCTTAGTTTAATTCTCATATCTCTGTTGTTACCTATTTGTAACAGACATGACACTTACACTATATCCTGTGATTCATTAATGGGGTTTTTGCTTATCATTCCTATTCAACTTTTCACAAAGTTTGGGGTAAACTGTGAGCTTCACTTGCTGTGAACATAAAAATGAACTTATATACTTGAATTGGAAGCCTCAGGAGCAGCATGCTTCACAGAAGTGAAAATAAAGTTTCATGGAGTGTTTGGGAACAGGACAAAGGGATAATGGAGCCTCCTTTCAGAGCAAACCTCAGGCCTCTACCTCCGTGTTTTGATGAAAGTGAACAGGACGCATGCCTATTTCTGGACCAGATGTAGCATCCGTTCAAATGATGTTGCGAAAACCCACGTCAGCACTGTCCATAGATGTGACAGGTGGTGCCCCATGGTGTGGCAGCCATTGATTTCGATGTGTTTGATACACACTTTGATAGAGGCAGAGTGAAGCATGACATGGACAAGTGTCTTTCAATGTAGTTTAATAGTCCCTATCAAAGAAAGCCCACTCTGATGGTTAGGTTGTTTAAATGTGAGACTAAGGAGCAGAGAATAGAACTGTGTGTGTACACACATACGTAATTTTCTGTTTTTCAGTAGCAACTCTATTGAGATATAATCTGCATACCATAATATTAAGAATTCAGTGGTTCAGTATATTCTCAAAGACCTGCACTGCTGTATAGAAAATTATATTTCTTTTTATTTTATTTTACTTTTTTAAATACAATTTTATTTATATTTATTTTTGTAGGTAACAGTGTGTTGTTTCAATACATGCATATCCTACACAATGATTCCCTTAGGGTAGATAGCATAGTTTTTGTCCCCATTAGTTGACCCCTAATCTTCCCCCCCCCCCCCAACTCCCATGCCTCCCGATCTCTGGTAACCATTATTCTACTCTCTACTTTTTTTTTTTTTTAACACACGTTTAAAGATTAACATCCTTATTGCAAGAACTCTTAAAAATGAATTAGAAAAATCTAAGCAGAAATTTGGTGAAGGACATTAGCAGGTAAGTCACACACCCCAAAGATACCCACGTGGTTAACAAGTACATTCTAGGACCTGGTTGCGGGCTGGGTGGGTCTGGAGCAACTCTCCTCTCAGTATCCCAGCATCGGCTGGTTCCATTTGCTGGCCTAGATGTGTGGCGAGGGTGGGGAAAAGGCCCATATCCCATCTCTCAGGACTAGAAAGTTATATTTCTTTTTTTTTTCTTTTTTTTTTTTATTTTGTCCTTTTTGAGACCGGCCGCACCGCGCTCAGCCAGTGAGTGCACCGGCCATTCCTATATAGGATCCGAACCCGCGGTGGGAGCGTCACTGCGCTCCCAGCGCCGCACTCTCCCGAGTGCGCCACGGGGTCGGCCCTAGAAAGTTATATTTCTGAACTTGGTTTTGTTTTTAATTTTATGTGTCTATTTATGCTTGGTAATTTTTTTACCTTCTGTTTTCTTTCTGTCAGGGTTCTTTAATTCACTGTTGGACTAACAAATGTAGTCAGCTAAATACAATTATAATATAGATATAATACAATTATATCTAAATTTATTTTTAAAAAAGACATTTTAGTCCATTTCATTTAAAGGCCAGAAACCAGATTTTTTTAATGAATGCTAGCCTTTCTCCTGTTTTTCCCCAAATCAGTTACTTTTTAAAAAAATATACCTCAGAAAAATGGTATGCATCTACTGAACTCAAAGTTCTCAGTTAAGGGGGAAAAAAATTAAACCTAAAAAAAAAAAAGAAATACAGCAAATTAGAGAATGGTTCATTTAA